TTGTAATGCAAATTGCATGAAAAAGTAACGTATTTTAACTTGATTCCTATTTTTGGTAACGTACTTTCAAAACTTTCATTTTGGTACCTCAGATGTAAAGTTTTAAACATTTAAGTACTCGGGTAACTCCTTGAAGCATTAACCGGTTACCATGTTGATGTGGCGAGTGATGTATCTAACTCAATATTATTTGTTGAAAACATTAACCGGATATCATATCACTCGCCACATCAGCATGGTAACCGATTAATGTTTCAATACTTAAATGTTTAAAATTTTATATCTTAATTACCAAAATAAAAGTTTTGAAAGTACATTTCCCAAAATAGGAATCAAGTTACGTTACTTTTTCATGCAATTTGCCTTATGTTATAACCCTCTTTTGGAGAGTTTTATAGGACGTGTAATATAATACTTTATAAAACAAATGTTAATAGAATCAACTATAAAGTATGCTATCTAAAAGCATTATAATAGGTTTATAAGATACTTTCAGGCGTTTTAACAAGTTCTAAGGACATTTTTTTAAATAAAATGTCATATTAGCTATTTTATATGACACTTTTAAAAAATGTCCTATAAACCCATCTTTTTATACGACACTTGTATTTTGCACACTTTCAAATAGTGTCTTATAAATAGCTAATACGACACTTTATTTTATAAGCGTCATAAAAAATTGTTCAAACGCCAAAAAAAACATTCTATACATCTATTGTAACACTTTTATATACGACACTTTTTGGTTTGGTCCTATAAACTTAGTCCTATAAAGTATTTTATTACGACGCTTAGATTTTTTAGCTGTAATGAAACCAATGTCTACCCGGGGCAATTTCCACCCATCTATTGAGGAGAAATTGTCCAGGTTTAGTTGATGTGAGATTCTAACAGTACTCATTTTCTATGTCGAATTAACAACTATTGTGTTGAATATAGCGCGATTCAGAAATTTTGTAGCCGACTACGGGGTTCCATTGATGGTCGTAATGTGGACGGCCCTCTCTTTCAGTGTACCAAGCAAAGTCCCTTCCGATGTTCCAAGAAGGCTCTTTAGTCCACTCTTATGGGAATCTGAATCCGCATATCATTGGACTGTAATCAAGGTATAAATTAACTGATATGCTAGCTGATGGTTGAAAAACTTGTATGCTATGTTAAGCAAACTAACTGATAAAAAGATTTGTAGGCTGTGTTTAGCAAACTAGCTGATAAACTAGTTGATGGTTGAAAAGCTAGCTAGTAGCTGATAGCTGCCAAACATGGTTGTTGCAACTGGTCTTTAATTTACTCTGTTAAGTTGACCTACAGGATATGGGTAAGGTGAGTCCAACGTACATCTTTGCAGCCTTCATCCCGGCTCTGATGATAGCCGGGCTTTATTTCTTCGATCATAGCGTTGCTTCACAGTTGGCTCAGCAAAAAGAATTCAACCTCAAGAATCCTTCAGCGTATCACTACGACATTCTTTTGCTTGGGTTCATGGTAACCGCGATCTTTTCTCTCTATTTATTACACCACTACAGCAAAATCAGCTTTATAAGACCCCAAATATGTCTAAATGTTCTAATAGATCATTTTATGGTACCAAATGATTGTCCATTCTAAAGATGTTGCAATAAGTTGACAGGACATTTTTGGAGTCGGTAACAAGTTTTTAGGACATTTTTTTAAATAACTGTTGGAGTCCCACATCGACTAGACTTGGTCCATTTCTCTGTTATATATATTGGAACCTCCCCTTCCTCCTCCCTCCAAAGCTCTTTTGAAGAGTGATCTGGGGGTTCCACATATTTTCACATAGTATCAGAGCCAAGATCTGTCACTCTAGGATCTGACACTCAAGCTAGCCCCCTCTCGGCAATTTGGCACAGTTTGTGTCCATCTAACTTCCGTTGGAGGGGGCGTGTTGGAGTCCCACATCGGCTACCATTTCTTTTGCAGCACTGTCACATAGGACATACAATTGTTTGGTCCTTGTAAAGCAGTCTTTTAGGACATTCAGACATGGTTAGCGTTCTATAAAGCCGATTTTTATCGTAGTGGCGCATGTTAGCCATCAGAAGCTGATTTTGTATGTCATCAAATGTTCTCTTGCAGACATTGCTGTGTGGATTGTTAGGACTGCCTCCTTCAAATGGTGTCTTGCCTCAGTCACCCATGCACACTAAAAGCCTTGCTGTTCTTAAGAAACAGGCAAGCTAACACACCGAAAACTTCGCTCTAAAACGCCTTCAATTTGTTCTAATAATCTAAAAGTCGTGTACCAGTTTATCCGAAAGAAGTTGGTTGCAAGTGCCAAAGAAAGCATAAAGCAGAAAGCGAGCAATTCCGAGATCTACAACAAGATGCAAACCGTTTTCATAGAAATCGATAGCTCTCCAATTGTAAATCTTCGTTCTCTCTTAGCTAATTCGATCTCACTTCTAACCGTTTAATGTTGGTGACGTTAGCGAAATCATCGGTTCCTTTTGTGTAATTGGGTTCATAACAGAATATGGGGTGTTAGTTAAGCTATAACACGGACTAATAGGTGTGGAGTTCACACTCGTGTAAGCTAACTATGACTCGGGATCGCTAGATTGCGCCGTATAACAGGGGTCAAGGGGGCCGCCCCCTAGCACTGTCCAAGGTGCAGCGCCCCTAGCAATGGTCCCACTGAGTGCTCTTCAGAAGTCTATGAGTCAGACACTTGCCTTTTGAGTCAAATGAGGCTTCTGACTCATAAGTGGCTTCTAAGTCAGAGGCCTCTTACTCAGAAGTGGCCTGTGACGCTGAAGAAACTTTTGAGTCTGAGGTGTCTTATCAGTCAGAGGCTTTTTAAAGTGTCTTCTGAGTTCTGAGTTGCTTTCTAATTCGTGTAAACTGGTGTGCAGTTTACCGCCCACTAATTTCTCGAAACCCTCCAACGTTTAATCAACTAACTTTGTGTCAATTGGTTTCGTTCGATTGCTTGCAGACAACGGCAGTCGTTAAAGAACTAAAAGACCTGCAGGACGCAGTGATGAAAGTTGAAGAAGACACGAAATTAGGGAAGTTCGATCCCGAGGAACACATCGACGCCCATTTACCGGTTCGTGTTAACGAGCAAAGGGTCAGCAACTTATTGCAGTCACTTCTTTTAGCAGCATCTATAACTGCTATGCCCTTAATAAAGTTGATTCCAACTTCACTTTTATGGGGATATTTTGCATATATGGCCATTGATAGTCTTCCTGGAAACCAGTTCTGGGAAAGGATCTTACTGCTATTTGTACCCTCTGGAAGGAGATACAAGTGAGTGCTTCTTTCGTTTTCTGTTTATAGAACGTCAAATATGTCTAAATGTAACCACAAGGGTGGTGTCTGATTGGTTTGAGCTTGGTTCCAAAGATCAAACGTACCGGGAGGTCCCAGGTTCAAATCCAAGGAGGAATAAAAAACCCCTTGTGGCCACGGAGGTTCAAATGCGGTGACTCTGGGCCATCTGCAAAGCACGTGGTCGCCCTGGGATTAGTCGGCTCACATAACGGGTTGGATATCTAGGTTAATTAAAAAAAAAGGCCTAAATGTTCTAATAGACTCCTTTATGGCATGCATATATGCCTAGAAATAATATGCAAGTAATTTTTCAAGTGTGCATAACATGCACACATGCATATAAACCAGGAAACATCTTCAATTACTTGTATTTACATGTACATACTATATAGATGAACGGTTATTACTTATTAGAGTGCTTTTCAGTTTCGGGGTGGTTTCCCCAACTTCACTCTCTCTCTCTCTAATATATATATATATATATATATATATATATATATATATTCATGTTTTTATGTGAAAATATGGCAGGGTTCTGGAGAAGGTTCATGCTTCATTTGTGGAGTCAGTGCCATTTAGAAGCATTGCTATATTCACAATCTTCCAAATTATGTATTTTTTGGTATGTTATGGTGTGACATGGATTCCGATCGCGGGTATACTCTTTCCCGTGCCGTTCTTCCTTCTCATCAGCATACGGCAACACATTCTACCCAAGTTATTCCAACTACACCACTTGAGGGAACTCGATGCAGCCGAGTATGAAGAAATCGCGGGTAGTCCATCACGAGCTCCAAGCTTAAATCTCAGGGTAATTAACGTTCCACAACCCATAATCACAATTAAAAGAGAACTATGTTTTATTTTGAGGTTATATTGGTAAAATATAGGTCTGTTCCACCCCCCATCACCTTGTTCCATGCGGTGGGAGTGGAACACGTCTATTCCACTCTGTTCCACATAAAAGTCTTGTCAAACACGGAGCAGTGATCCCGGTTTTGTTCTATATAGTGTACCAAATGCACCCATAAAGCACAATTGGCCCGTGTCATTTTCGTGCATCACTAATTAAGAGAAAACTTATCAGGAAATGGATAGTGGTTATGGTGGGAGCAATGAAGGTGAAGTGACGATGTGTGATGCTGAAATACTCGATGAACTTACCACGAGCAGAGGGGAACTAAAGGTTCGAAATCTTAGCTTCAGAGAAGATAGACGCACCCAGGTAATGATAAATTAAATAAACGATGTTGTCGAATGATTCGAGTTTTAGGGGCTGTTTACCAAACGCTTACCCGGGTAAGCGCTTACCAAGTAACATTACCTCACCGGATGAATATAGTAAGTACCAAGAATCTTACCCGGAAAGAGCGAGACTATGATCAAGAGTCTTACCTGGTAAGTGAGGGAGACGACTCTTACCACGGTAAGTGCTTACCGGGTAAATTATTGTATGTCGTTTTTGTGGACTAAAATCTTACCGGTAAGTACATAATAGTGTTAAATTTTACCAGTAAGCACTTACCGGGTAGGTGTTTGATAAACAACCCCTTAATGTTGTTGAAATTGGTGTAGATGTTAAGGTGATGGTGTGTTTTTGGTTGCAGCAAATTTACCATGGAGACTATATCCAACCTGAATGAACCAAGCTTCAAAGTATCATGATGTTGTCCAAATTCTATATATATATATATATATATATATATATATATATATATATATATATATAAAATAAAGAAGAACCATATGATATGAGGCTNTATATATATATATATATATATATATATATATATATATATATATATATATAAAATAAAGAAGAACCATATGATATGAGGCTTGAAAATTCAAAAAAAAAAATATATATATATATATAAAATAAAGAAGAACCATATGATATGAGGCTTGAAAATTCCTTGTTTTCTGCTGAAATATGTAATGTTAGGCATATTTGGACACATTTCTTTGATTTCATATATGTCAAATCAAATAGTTAAAAGAAGGTTTTAAGACATTGTGATCGTTGTTGGTTATTTTGGTGAAATTATCGTTGAATTTTATGTAGTTGGATTTATAAGAGAATGTGAGTTGTCACGAGGTACGAGGTTATGGACTACACACTCATGTAAGTTAAATAGAATCCGGAATCGCAGAAACGTACCATATGATGGCCCCCTTGCAGGGCAATGGTACCACATGAAGAGAAGTGTTTGGAGAAACTGAACAGAGTTCTAAGGGTCCGTTTGATTTTTGAACGGAAAGGATTTTGAGGATTTATAATTCAGATCAATTTTAATCTCGTGTTTGGTTTTGTAGGATTGCTTGGATTTCAAATCCTAGGATTTCTTTAAAATCAATCAAACATAGGATTTTGAAATCCAACAAACGTAGTTGGGATTCCACATAATTTCATTCCAAATCCTACAAAACAAACAGACTAAAGATTCCAAATCCTGCCAATTCCAAATTCCTTAAAAACCCTTTCGTTAAACCAAACGCCTCCCAAGTTCTCTTTAGAAGCCTTTGAGTTTTGTTCAGAAGCCTCTAATTCTAAAGTGCCTCTGCCTCAGACTTCCGACTCTCAGCCTCCCGACTCTGGATGAACAAGCCTCTGATTCTAAAGTGCTTCTGACTCAGACTTCCAACTCTCAAGAAGACTCCAGTCAGAAGCTCTAAAGTCTTCCAACTCCGGAGTCGAAAGCTTTCCATAGCCTACTACTCCAGAGTCAGAAGCCCTAAAGCTTTCTGACCGACTTCAGAGCCAGAAGCTCTAAAGCCTTCTGATTCGTGTAAGTAGTCTTGTAACGGTTGTACAATTAACGACCAATTAATTACTCCAGCAATAACTTCCGTATAATAGTGAGTTATTCCCGCATTCAATATAGGATCAGCTACGATTCTCTAATTTAGAAAGGGAATGGTTTCCACCAAAATTTGAGATTATCCTCTAACTAAGTTCATGATACCCTGACAGATCTGGTTCGAAATATAACTTAAGAAAAACGAGCAAAAATCCACAAAAATCAACACAAATGTGAATGGAAGCAGGCAAAAATCCACAAGTTTATTTCAAAGGATGAAGTGACAACATAGAGTTACAGATTTAAGAGTTGAAAAAAGGCATATATTATATATATATGATATGATATGATATGTCTCTTTCTTTCTTTCTTTCTTTCTTTCTAGTTAACTACTTGTTTCCCCACTTTCAAATCCTCCAACTTTGCCCCAATTTCATCAGCTGTTATAGGTTTCAAAGGCCCATTTGGAACCAATGGCCCTGTCTGCCATATTCTTATGGTTCCATCTTCCGAACCAGACGCATACGATTCACCTCCCGGTGAGAATCTCACACAATGGACTGGACCATGGTGACCCTTGTTGCATCCTATATCATCATCACATGTGAATACGTGTGAATGTGTACAACAAAATATCAAGTCTCAAAAAGACGTACCAATTTCTTCCCCGGTATTGAAATCAAATAGGCGAATCCACATGTCTTCCCCTCCAGCAATAAACTTATCACCAAATTTTGGTTCCAACGATGCTGATTCCACGTTGCAGGGCATGTCATAACTTTTCACCAATCCGAAACTATGACACAATAAAATGTTTCGATTTGAAGTATATGCAGAATAATAAAGATACGAAGTAAAACAGTCATTCACATATGAATATATTATAATTCACAAAAGCATACTGGTTTGCATCCCAGAACTTGACAGAGGATCCATCTGCGGTGGTTATATAACGACCATCCTTGCTGACTTCAGCACTGGTCACAGATGATTTCGTTTCAAGAGTATGGACGATATTGCCACTTCTCACGTCCCATAGCCTACCATTATATAATCGAGTAAATTTTATTTAAAACAGAGAGATCAATGAATTCAAGAACAACAGGATAGAAACAACAATTATGAAGGGAAAAAAAAAGAAATTGGGAATCAAAACTAGAGAGGCACAAAAAAGCCCAAGTCCAAGCCCTGTCCGGGCCAGGCTCAAAACCAGACCAGGCCGAAATTTTGGTGGCATGTTTGGGCCTAAGGCCAGCCTGAAAAAGCCCGGTTAAACGTGAAAAGACGACCAAAAAAGCCTGGCATAAAAAAGCCTGATTGGGCCCTTTAACAACCCCGTTGTTCCAAATCCCAGGCCGGGACCTTTTTGGACAAAAAGTTGATTACCGGCAACCTCAACTGTCCCCACACAGAACCCCGCCTTCAATGACACCAATGTAGGGGGCATTTTTTGGCTCACTCAGCGGTTGAGGCTAGTGGGGAGGCCCGGAATCGAACCCAGGACCTGTCTTCTTGTATTTGGGCAAAGTCACCCCACCCATTTGCCAACTAAGCTACACGCCAGAGGCCGGGCCTTTTTTGCTCATCGAGAACGGGCTTGGAATGCCCGAAATCCCTGGCCTTGTGCATCTCTAATCAAAACAGATGCAACCAAAAAGATGGAATTTCTAAAAGAAGACATCATTCTCATGACACGAGCAATTATCGATCAATAAATTGGACAAAGTCTTTGTTTTTTTTTAACTTGAACATCAGGTTGACTTATTAACCAGATGCATGTAATTCTATCCATGTATGCAAGTAATTCTATGCAATGTAAAGAAAACACAACAAAAGAACCCATATTTTCCAAACACTGCACATTTAGAAATCTGAAAACATCACCACCTTCACTAATGATGCTCAAAGTAGATGCAATACACCAATACCACCTGTAGACTCAGGTTCTGGGGAAAACCACAAAAAATTGGAGAACGGAGGAACACCCTAATAACCATTTTTTGTCCGGCATGCACATTTGCATAAAAGTAATTGAAAATGTTTCCTGGTTTCTATGCACAAATGCATTTTATGCATATGTGTATACCCAACAAATTACTTTTATGCACATGTGCATACCAAGCAATGATGGTTATTAGCGTGTTTCCCAGTTTTCCATTTTTTGTGGTTTTCCCCTGAACCCAACCCAACACATATAGAGACGAGGGAGAGAAAAGAATCAATGAGTCCATTTTATCCCATTTCCTAACCAGTTTTAGTCACAAGCCAAAATAATGAAGAGCCATGTGTCATGTACCCACCTTAGGCCCAAGCCCATTCCTAAGTACTATTCTAGAATAGATAATAGTATCAATATATAGGATGTAGTATCAATAGTGGGTTCTATATGGGAGAGTCCTAGCCTCTCCAATGCTAGTTTGTTCTTAGTTTTCCTTCTTAATTCTATTTCAATTGTTCAATCAATTCGGTTCATAACACCAAGAAGTTCATTTGATTCTTGATTTGTGACCCCATATGAACACGTTTTCTGAGAGAATTGACTAAAAATAGCAAAAGGAACAGATACAGTGATTGTTCACATACCTTACTCCTCCAGAATCAGAGCACGAACTTAATATTGTTTGGTCGCTATGGAGCCAAGCAACAGTCCTTACAGAACCCGGAGAATGCTCAACTTCTCTTGGAGGTGCATCTGGCCGATTTAAATCAAATATGCGAAGTATCTTCTCAAAACCTCCAGTCAGCAGAAGATGTGTATCCTGTAATGTGTCATACAACATTGTTTCTATTCATTAACCATGAAGACAAAGGTATACATAAATAATAGCCAATAAGAAATTAAAAAAAACTTTATTCGAGAATAATCATGTCACTTGGAAAGGAAATGGGAACCCGAGATCATCACACAAGGAAACAACGATTGTGCGACTGATTGCATATATTAGTAGCGAGTTCAGATCCAAGGTTCCGTTGTACCGAGAAATGAGTACTTAATATGAATTTCAGTATCGTCGATTAAAATCGTTGGATGTTAACCCATTATGCATATCATCTCATCATGTTAAGTATTTAATATTTTCCGTCGGAAATCATCCCTCCCCAACTGAGTTAGGGGATGTTTGGTTGGTTTTCCATTAAATCATGTATGGATAAATATATCTGTGTAGATTAATCTGTTTGTATAATAGAATGAGAAGGTTTTTATTTGTTAGAGCTTTTTCATACATGGAACTACGGAAGGAGCATGTTTTTTAATTGGGAGGGGCAGGTTTGGAAAAAAACTTAGCTTTCTACATAAAGCTCCCCCTAGAAGCTTACTGAATAAGCAACTTTATATCATTAACCCACTACCAAATGGTCATATATAGTTTACCGAATAAGCTGTGAGTCCATTAAGCTCGCTAAGCTACTAACAAACAGGCCCTTACCCTTTTTTCCAACAAAAAACAGGCCCTTACCCTTTTTTCCAACAAAAAACAGGCCCTTACCCTTCCTTATTTGGCATAATCAACTATACGCTAACTATGTGTCATTTAGATTTGTTTTGTAACCATGCGAGTCTGTCGGGAACCTCAACTAATCCCACGGGATCTTGAAAATAACAGCCAAGAAAATCCCTAATGGCCCGATAAGACTCGAACTGACGACCTAGCATTTATTTGTCAGTTGCGCTTGCCCTCAAAGTTTTTATTTCAGTTGGTTTTCTTGTAGGCCCGTGGGGGTTAGAGTGAGAGAGAGAGAGAGAGAGAGAGAGAGAGATTGAGAGTAGGAAGGAACATATGTAACGACAAGATGCAAAGATAAAAGTTGTAAAATAGACAACTATATGAAATGCACGGGTTCTATAATCTAGGCCCTAAACTAACAAGCACCAGTAAGTAAACTAGGTTCGTTTTCCCTCGAGCAAAAGTTATTTCAAAGAGGTAATCGACAAGCGGCTGCAAATAAAGAAAGAGGAAGCCACCTCAGAGAAGGAACATGCTCGAACAATATGCTTGTGGTCAAATGAGTGCAGCACATCCCCAGTCAACGCATCCCACAATTTCCTGCAAATGAAATGATCAGGACATTCAACATGTGCATAAAGGAAAATTTTGTGACATCTCAGAAACATAAAGATAATATTAACAAAACAAAAAACTTCCAAAGAAATGATGAATAATGAAGAATATCTTCACCACATACGCTGTGAAATCAGCAGATGCCGATGCAGCACGTAGAGCATTAGTATCTAGACAGCAACTCCAAACTGCACCTTTATGCCCTTCAAAGGTTCCTATCCAATCTCCGGTTTCTCCATTTCTAAGCATAGGAGTGGAATCTGAATAACAAATTTATGGGTATAAGTAATAAGGGCCTGTTCGTTAGCAGCTCAATGAGCTTAATAGAACTCACAGCTTATTCGGTCAACTATGCATGACTGTTTGGTAGTGATTTAATGATATAGAAAGTGGCTTATTCAGTAAACTTTTAAGGGGGGGTCTTTATGCAGAAAGCTAAGTTTTTTTTCCAAATCCCCTTCCAATTTAAAAACACGCTACTTCCATTTATGAAAAAAGCACACCCAAACAAAAACCCTCTCAATCTGTGCAGACAGATTAATCCACACAGACAACTCTATTCATACAGTACTTATTGCAAAACCAATTAAACAGCCCCTAACTCAAGTATTGAGTCGTGCATACTTTCAGAAGCTTTTCGAGCTTTGAAATAAGGTGTTCAATCAAATTATGAATACGAAGAAACCTAACTGCCAAACATTAACCCTCACATGGCCAAAAATAAGAGAACCAAATATAAAATTCTAGAAAATGATCCATCTTGGACTATCGGGAAGAAATATTGTGATACCAATATGGCGAAAACCGCTCAAAACTTCATTGGAAACAACACATTTAAATATTAACAATTCTTATTGTGATAATACTATGTATCTTAATAACCACAAAGCTGCATTAAGGATCTATTACAAGAATATGAGTGCAGCAAATGGGATAAACCTACTCGAAAATTAGAAGAAAAAATGAGAAATATGGATTCATGGGACATACAAACATACAATTCCATACAAGAACAAATAGTCCAACAAGTGTAAACTTAATCCAAATACTCAAATAGGGTCAGGTTCATCTACAAACCAGGAACCACCATCCTCTTTTGTGAGTATTCATAATGAACAACATGATAAAATATTCATAATAATGTGATATTCATGATGAATAATATCACAAAAAGGCTGGTTTCTACGATCCTAAAACATTTAAACTGAACCTGCCCCTACTTGAATATGATCACATAGTTGTGATTAATCTTCTCATGACTAACGGATACGATTGATCAAATCCAAATGTTGATATGATGCTCCAATTTAAAGATTAGGGTTGTTATGCCAACATGTATAAACTATAAAATGGGAGTTAATAAACAAATTCAACGATCAAAAATCAACAAAAAAATCCAGATATAAAACAAACCTTTGCTGGCACTGATAAGGAAAAACCCATCTGGAGTGATCGGGCTATAGAACAAATCCACTACTGGCCGAGAATGACCATGGCATACGAGCGGAACTGCGACCTTCTTCTTATCCATAAGCCCTCTTAAAAAGACCGAATTACACAAAAACCCTAAAAATCTGACCTTCCAGTTTGAAAACGATATCCAAGTCCCCGATCCCAAATCTAGAAATCAAGGACCAAAAACCTAGAAATCGACAATTGACCTCAAAAATCGCGCACAATTGCCTTGGATAAATCTTGATTGTTACATCAAATATGGAAATCTTACAAGAAATACTAAATATTATATGTGTAAGAAAAGGAGAATGGCGGCAATCAACACAGGTGGGAAACCAAACTTTTGAGCTTTTGATCGCTTCAATACGATGAATCCACACCTCCTAACCCCACGATATGCGAAGAACAACAGATCGAATTATTTCTGTGAACTAAAAATAAACAAAAAGGAAACAAAAATGGTACTAAAAAGTAAGATAAATAGGATTACGGCGTACAGGGGTAGGCGCAAGGCTGCCATTGATGCATTTCTTGGATTTATAGCGTCGTCGATCGATCCAGATTTCTTTCTTCATGGTGGTCCCTCATGTTTCTTCATGTTGTCACATGATCCCCTGAAGTTGAGAATATTCGGATAGATGCCCTTCTAACTTTAAGTTATTTACAAATAAGTCCTTGTCATAAATTTTCCTTTACTTTCTTTTGATTTTCTTTATTATATATATATATATATAAAAAAAGATTAGAAATTTGAGAGAGAACAAGAAAATTACTTCTAAATAGTTGACTTTCCAAATTGCCCCTTGCCATGTATTCATAAACAAGAAGCCTGTTCTCCTTCTCACAGCAGTAACCGATCAACTTTACAAGATGAGGATGCCTCAATTGCCCCAAAAATGTCACTTCAGCCTATAAATAACAATTAACAGAAATTAATTACAGAAAAATTGATAAAAAAGAATGGCTGTTTATTATCATACATACCAGCCATTCATTGTGACCTTGACCACCATCCAAATCCAATAACTTGACTGCAACCGGTTGAGCCTCTAACCCTGGCTTGGTCTTGTCATCTATGAACCCTTTATGAACCGGTCCGAACCCACCTTCACCAAGATAATTACTGGCCGCAAAGTCATGGGTGATCCTGGTTAGCTCAGCCAGGGTGAACTCATGAAGGTTCCAGCCATTAATATAACTTGAAAAACCATTGATGACCGAAAGCGAGGAGCTAACATCCGATATCGATAACCTCTGTGACAAACCGGTTTTAGGAACCAGAATCTGGGGATCGAAAGTAGCAGTCTTGTTTGTGAAACAACCAAATAGAACAGCTTTCCAGGTGTTGGATTTTTTGGGAGCCATGGGAGACTAATGTGGAGAAATGGTGGTGTTGATTATGATGAGTATAAGTAGGTGCCAACCAGAAGATGTGAGGGGTTAATCTGGACTGTTTTGGGGTGGGAACCAAACAAATGATTTGAAAAAAGAGGGGATAGAAGTTGGTGGCAACAGGGTTTTGGTTTTGGGTTTGGTTAGGAAGATTCTCAGCACAAAAAAGTCTAAAGGCTAACTAACCACTTGTATATTTTCTTTGCAGGCTTCTTTTAGCTTCTGCGCTGATTACTGATCATATATATATATATATATATATATATATATATATATATATATATATATATATATATATATATNATATATATATATATATATATATATATATATATATATATATATATATATATATATATATATATGATCAGTAATCAGCGCAGAAGCTAAAAGAAGCCTGCAAAGAAAATATACAAGTGGTTAGTTAGCCTTTAGACTTTTTTGTGCTGAGAATCTTCCTAACCAAACCCAAAACCAAAACCCTGTTGCCACCAACTTCTATCCCCTCTTTTTTCAAATCATTTGTTTGGTTCCCACCCCAAAACAGTCCAGATTAACCCCTCACATCTTCTGGTTGGCACCTACTTATACTCATCATAATCAACACCACCATTTCTCCACATTAGTCTCCCATGGCTCCCAAAAAATCCAACACCTGGAAAGCTGTTCTATTTGGTTGTTTCACAAACAAGACTGCTACTTTCGATCCCCAGATTCTGGTTCCTAAAACCGGTTTGTCACAGAGGTTATCGATATCGGATGTTAGCTCCTCGCTTTCGGTCATCAATGGTTTTTCAAGTTATATTAATGGCTGGAACCTTCATGAGTTCACCCTGGCTGAGCTAACCAGGATCACCCATGACTTTGCGGCCAGTAATTATCTTGGTGAAGGTGGGTTCGGACCGGTTCATAAAGGGTTCATAGATGACAAGACCAAGCCAGGGTTAGAGGCTCAACCGGTTGCAGTCAAGTTATTGGATTTGGATGGTGGTCAAGGTCACAATGAATGGCTGGTATGTATGATAATAAACARCCATTCTTTTTTATCAATTTTTCTGTAATTAATTTCTGTTAATTGTTATTATTGTTATTTATAGGCTGAAGTGACATTTTTGGGGCAATTGAGGCATCCTCATCTTGTAAAGTTGATTGGTTACTGCTGTGAGAAGGAGAACAGGCTTCTTGTTTATGAATACATGGCAAGGGGCAATTTGGAAAGTCAACTATTTAGAAGTAATTTTCTTGTTCTCTCTCAAATTTCTAATCTTTTTATATATATATATATATATAATAAAGATGGCAAACTTATTAATTTAATATAGGTGATTATGTGATGTTAAAAGTTTCGCCATGGAAGGGTGTTGTCAGATTTGGAAGGAAAGGAAAGCTCAGTCCGAGGTATGTAGGGCCATTCAGAATATGTAAACGAATTGGGCCAGTAGCATATCAATTAGAGCTACCAGAAGAGTTGAGTCTGATTCACAACATTTTTCATGTGTGAATCTGCGGAAATGTTTGGCTGATCCGAATTTAGCTATACCACTGCCAGAGATTCAATTAGATAGTAAATTGAATTTTGTGGAAACACCGGAAGCTGTTGTTGACAGAAAGATCAGAGTACTTAGAAACAAAGAAATAAGTCTGGTTAAAGTGCAGTGGAAGTTTCACAAAGGACCGGAAGCAACATGGGAACTAAAGGTCATAACTCATAACAGTATACATTCAATCTTTCAGATCCTGCTATCAAATGAGATATACTTAATGTGCTTGGTTTTATTTACATTTTTAACCGTTATGTCCATAATTTTGTTGTAAAACAACAATTGTAGTCGTTAGAAATCGCGAGTAAACCATCAAACTTGACAATTATTTGTGATTTAGGTAATGGAAATTTGGATGCATCTATCTATATGTATATGTGAAGGGCATTTTAATGGCTTTTTGTTTATTGTAAACGTGACAACTTCGGGAGTTTCATTTTGACCAAATTGGGTATCTATAAAAGCGTTTGAGAGAAGGTTTGAACAACCAACGGAAATATCTGTTTCAAGAAAGCAAGAACAAGAAATTTAGAGGTAACGTAGTTGTGTCTTTCAAAATGATGAATTTGTTGTGTTTTATTATTATCATGAGTAAGCCAATAACATTCGACGTAACGCTAACCCATATCCCTTTTGTAGGCCCAGTGACTTGATCATGTATCGCATAGTCGAGAAAATTGAGTTGTTTTTAAAATATTATGAAATTTGAACTTTAATTGTCTTCAAATTTGTTGGATTTTGTAAAACGTAACACAAATTAGATACAATATAATGTAGTGTTTGATAACAAAGATGTTTTGATCTTTTAACGACACTTGTTTATGAAAACGAACATAAAAAATCAAAATTACAATCAGACTTTTTATATGATTTATGTACAAAAACACAAAGTAAGGTTGCTCATTTAATAGCTTTCTTTGACATGAATAACGAGTCTTGGTTCTTGTGCATTAGATTTACTGGTTCGTTTGATTTGATGATTTGATTTTGTGTAAAGATCCAAAAAACAAAGATGCATATTCCCATTATTAGTTGTTCTCTACCAATTGATAATACTCCCATGTATACATACTCAATTGACATTTGGTTCAAATCCCCTTGTGGTCACGACGGGTCAAATGCGGTGACTCCAGACTACCCACGAAACGGATGGTCATCTTAGGATTAGTCGGCTCGCATAACAAATTAGATATTCAGGTTAATTAAAAAAATTAACATTTGGTTCTCAATTGTTTTTGGAATAAATGAATTTTATCAAAGAAACTAGAATGCATACTTTTGGTTGGAAAAACATAAACCTTAATGACATCAAATATTGTTTTTAATCTTTTATTTTAAATAAACCATTAGTCTTATAAAAATTGCAATAAGACACCATTCTACAAGAATGAGCACATTTTAAATAAAAAACTGCACAAATGTGGTGTCTGATTGGTTTGAGCTTGACTCAAAAAGTCAAAAGTACCAGGAGGTCCCAGGTTCAAATCCAAGGAGAAATAAAAATCCCCTTGTGGCCACATAGGTTCAAATGCAGTGACTATGGGCTATCTGCAAAGCAGGTGGTCGCCCTGGAATTAGTCGGCTCGCATAGCGGGTTGGATACTCAGGTTAATAAAAAAAAATGGTTCATTTGCCGTCAACATATCCACTATTGCTCCTTTTTGGGGTGCTTTTAGCTTAGCTTGCAAACAAAAAGCCAAGTAAATTGCATCTCAATAGACCTTTTAACAAATAGGAATCAAAAAAAGGCCACTAGAAGGTTAACGGCATGTTTGTTAGGAGTTTAATGAGCTTAATGGGACTCGCATCTTATTCGGTCGACCATATATGACTATTTGGTAGTGGCTTATTCAATAAGCTTTCAGGGATGAGTTTTATGTAGAAAGCCAAATTTTTCCCACACCTGTCTCTCCTAATTAAAAAAACACTGTTACTTCTATCTATGAAAAGCTCTTCCAAACAAAAACCTTCCTAATATATACAGACAAATTAATCCATATAAACAACTTTTTTACCAACCAAACACCACCTTTCATAGAAGATGATTGTAAACGCTCATGATTAAAGATAGGGATCCCAAGCACTGCCAAAGCTTTGTGACCATAGAGGTTCACCTACGATGACTCCGGGTTCATTTGTGGTCGTACAGGGATTAGTCAGTGTAGGTAAGCTAGCCAGATATCCACAATTAACCAGAAAAAGAAGATAGGGATCCTAGACTTGATAAATACTATTTGTCCATTAACATGGAAATCTTATGGCTACAGATGGTTCACAAAAGTGTGTTTTAAATTGAACAAACCAACATGGGAGAAATATATAAAGATAGAAAAGCAGTAGAAATAAAAATAACAAATACAAGAAATCTCACACCTTACTTACTTAGTAGGCCATGTTGCTTGAGCAGACATTATTATCCCCACGATTACGCCAAACAATCCAAGTGCACTTCCGAATATTTCTATCACGAGGATCTTCACAAAAAGCGACGAGTTTTGGGCATCTGATAAAGCACAGCTGCTCCCAATAATCCCAACACATAGACTGTGAACCACAAGTTTCAACAAACAAAAAGTAAAAATCACATCAGCAGAACTTTGAAACTAACATTTACTAACAAAACTTTCACTAATAATCACCCAAATGATGGTTTAGACACACGCTTCAAGTACGAATATTATATAAAGTAAATGTTTTAGGGGGTGTTTGGTTAGAGGTATTAAGCAATAATCAATGGGAATGATGATAAAAGAAATTGTTTCGTTTTATATAATATAATAGATTCATTTCCCCAAAAGTCCAAATTTTCATTCCAGGTTAAACTGGGAGGAATGAAAAGTCATTCCCATTTTCATTCTCTTTGTCATTTTTACTTTCATTCCCTAACCTGAACCAACAGCACCTAATAGAATATCATTTGGATGTTTGCTGCAAAAAGCTTCTCTGATGGGTGCTGACTGTGCGTTATTTTCTACATAAAGATAGAAATATAATTAAAGATAAAAAACATACCCACAAACAAGGTTTGCAAATCCCACAATAATTCCTGAGGCGAAAATTGCATATCCTGCTCGGAGGGATTCTGGTGCATATGTCTGTGATGGTGGGACACTCTCGAGCTTTGTTTGAAGAATGATTGCCACAATGACTCCGTATATAGCAACCGCCTCACAGAAAATTACACTGAAAATACAACAGGGATTTACTGGTTGAGTCACTTGAGTGTATATGAAAGGAACATGATTCCACATTCCTTGTTTACATGATTGTTCTGATTATATTGCATGTTTGTGTGTGTGTGAGAGAGAGAGAGAGAGAGAGATGGGGGGACTAGTTCTGGAATTCTAATTCTACAAACTTAATTCCACACAAACCCAAAAAAATTCCAAAACCAAACGCCTTGTAATTGATAGTTAGGGGGTCGAAATTTATACATATTAATACACAAAAATAAATTCTTTAAAAAAGAACATATCAAATACAGACTAGCTCCACTTGTTTTGGGTTTACAGCTTTTCAAAATCTTGTAAACCAATCTTCTTCTGAAATTCCCTTGTTAATTTTACTTTTCCTTGATGATGCACGAAGATGGATGGGTAAATCTTGTCCTATCAATGTCCGTAATAAACAACTAATGCTTTTAACAATTACAGTTGCTAAAGTCTCGGAAAAGACAAAAAAGGCAAAAATGGAACAAGTAGATTTTTAATGGATCACAAAGGAATACCGAGATCATACCAAAAAAGGAATTTGAAGTTTATGGATTTTTGGTTCAGATTATAGTTCCATAGATCACAATTCACATGTAGGTATAATTGCTCCAAATGGGCAGCAGGTGCAATTGCATCCCACTTACTAGATACTTGAACAATAGCCACCGTATTATCAGACAGATAAACAAAGAAAAAATTATTTGTGACTCTGGTTAACTTGAGAAATGGTCATGTTTGTCATGAGGATCCTTCGCCTTAAGATATTTCAGGCAGAAATAAAAAACAACATTTCCTTCAGGGTGCATTTGGGGTGGACACAAGATAACAAAAACTTTTTGTCCCACGTTTGGTGTAGTATTAGACTATGACAAGCCAGGACCGAGTGGGATGAAAATGATTTTTTTTTATCCCACCAAAATGGGTGGAACAAAAATCAGAGAGATGAGACAAGATTGGTATATTACTAAACCACCCATGTCAAATTAAAAGCCTACAACCTTCCACAATTCTTTCACCCCCCCCCCCTAACTCACTCTTGCCCGTCCTGTATTTTCCCGTCCTGTATTTTCCAGTCCAGTCAGCATATCAAACACACCCTCAAATATCAATCAAAATATAGCAAGTTCATGTTGGTGGCACCAGTTACAGGGGTACTTATTCTACAAGAGACATGGTACCATGCCCCTAAAAGTGTTAAGCAAATATAGTGTCTCACCTGGATTTCATTGATCTTGGAGAGTCTGCAGATGGTCTCTTCTAAATGTAAATAGTTGCAAAATTTGTGTCTTTCATTCATAATCTTTCCCCATCTTATAGAGTTGACCCAATATATCTACTTGGGAAGTTCCAAAATATGAATTGCAAGCAGAAAAAAATTGATGACATTAGGTTCTAGATCACACTCACTTGCACTGCATTCTCACATCAACTTTTCATTTAACATCCATTTTATTCCCTCGAGATGATGCGAATAAATTCTCAGAAAGGGCTTTTGTGTGCTCATCAAATGAGTTATTTCTAGACTTTTTTTAGCTGCGTCTAAGTTTTGCCTCACTTATAACAGATGCATTGTTCGATCAGTACTACTAAGGGGAATGCAAAACCACCCAATCAGCTTACCAATCCAATTGTAACTTTCACTTCAACAGTTATATAATATACACGTATAATTCTTTTGCCACAAAGATCCATACATGTAGGTATGCGTCAGTTACCACAATGCTTTCATGAGACTACATCTACTTTCTAAGCAATTTCATGAATTATAAGATACATGCAAAGTTTCAAGCTAAGATGCATCACATAACATGACCAAAATCATCAACAAAAGAAGATCACAATACAAATCAATTTCTTTAGCAAATCAAGTGAAATATTAAGATCATAGATTGAAAACATAACATAAACCATATCAAAACAATACAAAAACTAAACCCTGGGAGTGGAAAAAAGAACCTGATGAGATTTTTGGAGGTAATGCGTGGGGCTTTAATGGCAGCACCAATTAAACTACTTCCTGTAATGTAAATTCCCCTGCAACATCAGAAAAAAGATCTACATCATTAATTACACAAAAGTAACCATATCAAATCGAAGATCGAAACCCTAAAAACATCGAAGATAGTTTATTAAAAAGATTCGAACCAAGCAGCACCGAGGACAGATACACCGATGGAGATGGCGATACCGATGGCGGAAAACGTGTAAGGCGAAATCTTCACTAACGCCCGAGCCCATGAGCTTGATGCCCCTAACACTATCGCAGTACCAGACATCTTCAGATTCAGAGGACGATGTTTCTGACGAGAGATAGAGAGAGAGAAGAGATACACGAAGAAAATTATCGGGTTAGTTATGAGTCACAATTTTACAGTAACGGGTCGGGTTAAAATTGTTAAAAGATTTAGGCTTTATTTCGGACTTAAAGGCTACGTTGAAAATATAATTTGGGCTTGAGCCCATTATATAATCTTTAAATTTAGAGTAAACTATAAATTTGGTGCCTCTGGACTAGTCATGGCCAAACCAGCATGGCCTGACCCGGGACCACCGGAGGACCAGCCCGGTCCGGGACTAGTAAGAACTGGTTATAGAACCGAAATCTGGGACCAGTTCATGATTTGGAGCGATTCACGGGACCGGGACCAGTTATGGACCGGTCCGGCCTGAAATTTCAGAAAAACTAGTTGTTATATAGCCGTTTCTTTGAATATTTTGTCTTCTAAACACTATAAATATGTGTCTTGATTGAGGGGTTTATATATCAAGTTCTCAATTCTCAAAAAACGCATTTTTAAAGTGTATTTGAGTGACTCAATTACAAATTTTATAATGTATTAAAAATATATATTATTAAAAAATATTTTAATGATCGGGACCGGGACCGGCCAACTATAACCGGTTATAACTCACCTTAACCGGGCTCAACATTTTTGACCTGGACCGGTTACGGCCAGCACTGTTGAGGCCCGGGACCGGTAAGACCCGGCCCGGCCCGGGACCGGTTTACGTATCAACTTACAAAACGCAAAAAAAACGTTCATAATTCTCGGTTTTCTCGCTAAATTTTGTGACTTCGGCTCGTATTCAATTTTCGTTTCTACTTCACAATTCTCATTTCTTTCTCTCTTTGTCTTGCAAATGACCGGTGAACAACATAATGCATCAAACGAACAAGTTGGCTAAGTTATCGCTGAGCACGAACGAATGTCCGAGATTTGGAATTTATACAATTTGGTGATCCTTATGAACGGGAAAAGAAAGACACAATGTAAAATATGTCAAACTCTTCTTACGGCAGAAGGAAATTCTACTCTAAGGCAGCACACCGAAAAAACGTGATCAGAGTTAAGGTTAGGGGACGATTCAAGCCAACCAATACTTGACGGTCCTAAACATTGAATTTCAAGATTTCTTAATTTAGTAAAAAAAAATGTTCTTTATGGTAATTACTTTTTTAGAATTTCTTCAAGTTTAGATAATTTTACACCATCTCTCCTACTTTCTTTATTTTGAAAAAAGCTTTGAAGAATCTGTTGGAGTAAAAAATTGTCCAAAATCTTTATTTTAAAGAATCTGTTAGAGGTGTTATTAATTCATTTCAATGAAAATTTTAAAGAATATATAAAAAGAAAATCTATTAAAAACATTATAAATGTAGTGAAAGATTGGCTTTGGGACTGTTTACTTGCGGCATAATCAGGCTTATTGGTCTATCTGGCTTATTCGTACAGTTCATTTGGGTTGTTTACTTACAGCTTATTCGCACAGATAGAAATGGTGTGTTGTCCCCATTCAGACATAAAAATGACACATCTACCCCCTATTTAAAGCATCGCCTTCTTCCCATATGAGACACCTCATCTTCAACCTCTTTATGATTTTTTGTTTTGATGTTCAAATAATTAATATTGGAGAGTAAATTGGTCATTTATGTTATTCAGATAAAAAAATAAACAACAACGCTCATTTATTCAGACAGACAAATTTATCCGGAAAGACAAATTTATCCATACATGACTTATGGGCTGTTTGGGATTGCTTATAAAAACAACTTATTGACCTATTCCGGTGTGACACTGGTAATAAACACTTTTGAGTGTTTGGATAAACAACTTATACCGGTGCCAAACCGGTAATAAAGGAGTTTTTAAATAAGTTAAATTCTTTTGACTTATAATAAGTTGATAAGTGTTTTTGTATAAAAACATAAATTGTTTCAAATAAACAATTACAAACACCCTCTTAATAAAAACTTTGATAAACAACACCTCTAAACATTTATATAAAATGTTGCATTGTCACGTTGGTCTAATTTCCACCGAGAAATTTTTTCATAATTTTTTTAATTTATCGGTCAACAAAAATTCATGCACATGCATTTTTAAAAATATTTTGTCATAAATTAGAATAGCCAATCACTTTGGGACGCGTGGAGGAAGGAGGAAGAACCACTTTTGATTGAAAAAAGGACCACTCATCTCGTGCATCTTGGCGTCCACCGAAATGTTAAATGTACGTCTGCTTTCCATCTCGTGACTGGTAGAAACTTGGGTGAGCATCGGAACCGAGTATCTGTCTTTGGAATCGGAACTGCTTCGAAACTGTCGGATTCGGAACCAGAATTGGAACCGATGTGATTGGTTCCAATTCCTAAAATACGCAATCGATAACCAGTTCCGGTTCTCATTTTTTGAAACCATTAACCGCTGGTTATATGTCGGCATCGGGTAACCGGTCTCATTAGGTATTCAAAACCGGTTCCATGAATTTTGGTCCCTTTGGTTTCTCAAAAGTAACAACTTTCGTCTCTTCAATTTTGAAATTACAAAATCACCGTTGTGCTATGTAAAAACGACCGGATTTAGTCCCTCCCTTAACGACTGTTAGAAGAACGCGTTAAGTTAAGGGTATTTTAGATTTTTCAAGTTCTCTATTTTTTCTTTAAAAATTATAACTAATTACCACCATCTTCTCATGCATCGGTCATCGCCACCGGCCAAGTACATCTCGAAATCAAAATCAATTTCAACTCAAAATCCAAATCAGTTTCAACCCCAAAAATCATTTGAGAAGTTATATATTGTGATAAACCTAAAAAAAATTTATCTGAAAATATTGTTTCACATGATTTTTTTTATAATGCTAGCATTTAATGTATTGATGAACATATATTTATTTCATATAATTTTGCTTTATATGTATACAGTTTACAATGTGAAATTCTTTTGTATGTAATTTTCGTTTAACTAACACACTAAAAAGATTCTTATTGTGAAACAAATATATTTTAATCAGTATTGTAAACCCTAGTTTCAGATATAAAAAAAATCATATAAAATAACACATGATGCATTAATTTTGAATGTTATTATAATTTTATCAATTCTTGAAAAATCCAATTTAATATATTTAATATATATTTTATATATAAGGTACCAACACGTTAATACTTCATAGTTTTTCAAGTCACTTGAGTTTATAAAGTACACACTTATAATTCGTAGATACATTCAAATAAAATCAAACTTTGACTTTGATTTCTTTGTCCATTAGTCTCAAAGTGTCAGGAATTGGTAAACAACTTAAAACACAACAAATGCAAGTTCTGATATGTCGTGTTTGACAGTTTCTGAATGGTTTGATACAGAATGATTAAGAGACTCTCATGATATAGTACAAAATGAAATATAATTGTTTGGTAATTGTATACAATGAAATTAAGGCGCTGAATAGTTAATGGATGACAATGATACAAAATTATTCAGAAGATTTTAGAACCATTAAGAGGCAGATTTTTTTTTTGCCAAACAATATTCAGCTCTTAACGATTCAGATGATGTCTCTTAATGTAATTATTAAGAAGTAAACAAACAACCCCCAAACAATAGATTGTAAAATCCAAATAAAATCGAATAAGCCTAGTCCAACGTTCAGATTTTATTTTTTCCGTTCAAACTTAACATGTTGAACAAATTCAAAATTAAAATCAAAACCATATTTCTCTACGATTTGGAATTAAATTTTTAGATCTTTTTTTTTCCAACTTTTAAACCAATTAAAATTGGACAAATTGCATGAAAAAATGACGTACTTTAACTTGATTCCTATTTTGTGTAACTTACTTTCAAAAGTTCTGTTTTGGTACATAACATGTAAAGTTTTAAACATTTAAGTACTTGAGTAACCGGTTGAAACATTAACCAGTTACCATGCTGATGTGACGAATGATGTGGTGTCAAACTCAGTATTATTTGCTACTCAATCCAATTTCATTACATCATCCACCACATCAACCGGTTACCAGAGTATTTAAATGTTTAAAACTTTACATCTTAGGTATCAAAACATAATTTTTGAAAGTACATTACATAAAATAAAAATCAAGTTAAAGTACGTCATTTTTTCATGCAATTTACCTATTAAAATTTGATCAAATACGTTACAAACTATATTTAAAGTATTTTTTTGTTTGTTTATTATTTTATTTATTTTAAAATTATTCAACCCAAATTGACTAAAATGAAAACAACGTTTTCCACACTTGTTGTATTTCAATATTTTCAACAACCCCAAACATTTTCCATTTAATAAATAATATCAAAATTGACTTATATTCATTTTCTTAAAATACCACATTATATAAGATAGACATTGTTTGACAGTTGTTGAATAGTTTAGTACATGATGATTAAGTGGTTAGAATGATTAAGAGACTCTAATAATATAGTGCAAAATGAAATATCATTATTTGTTAATTGTTTACAATAAAATTAAGACGGTGAATGGTTAAAGAAGACTCGAAATATAAAATCATTCATAAGGTTTTAAAACCATTAAGAAGCAGATTTTTTTTAATCATCAAACTATAAAATAAAATTGTTTACGACAATTTTAAGAATAAATAAACAAATTTAGAATTAATATATAAAAATATTATCTATTTAAAACAAATAAAAAATTGTCATGTATTTTTATATAAGTTTAAGAATATTGTTACAAGAAGATATTGATATCAAATGCAAATAAAACTAAGAGTATTCATAACAGATTTTCTATTATTTATCTGAAACAGAAAATCAAAAGTTGAAATATCTGAAAAGTTTAGGGGTTGTTTACCTAAATGAACTACTTGTAACCCACTAGACGATCGTAAAGTAAAAAAAAAACCTAAATCAGTTTTATTGTTTCCAAACCCTACGCCCTTTAAACCCCTCGCAAACAACGGTATCACTCCCCTTTGCCATTTCTTGTCGCCCCATCATTGTCTGTTCTTCATACAGACTATTACAATAGTTGGTATCTGCTATTGATCTCTCTATTTTTGATCTATTGTTGTTGGGTTACAAGTAGTTTTATGTTTCTAATCGGTTACCAATAGTTTTTTTAGGGTCAAAATGATGCAAATTATCACTTTTAAAACTTTAATTGTTTATTTTATTACAAAAAATGTTCAGTGATTTTTCCATTTAAAAAATAATTAAGAGACTTAGGGACTGTTTACCCAATGCTTACTCGGTAAGCGTTTATGGGTAAGAATAAACACTTTCATTTAACTTATCGGATAAGACTTTAGTTCATTAAAATGATATCATATGCAACATTTTTATCCGGTTATCGGATGAGACTCTAGGTCTTTGTCATCGTTCTTTCCTGTTAAGATTCTCAATCCTTGATATGTTCATCCTATAAGGTAAAGTTACCGGGTAAACATTTAGTAAACGACCCCTTAATCATTTAAAATAAGAAAATATAATATTTTTTTATTTTAAATTATTCAAAATAGAATAATAAATTAGGATTTTTCTGAAAAATCTATATATATATTAAAGAATAAACCACTATGTATGATGTGGCCTATTCTAAAAGCTAGGAGCTTATTTATCTTTTTTCTCCTTTTTTTTTTGTTTTTTAAAATACTAATTAAGTTAAAGACTATTATGCCCCTACAAACAAATTGTATATTTCATAATAGATTAGATCATTTGGTAATTTTGCATCCAACTAAGTTTAACCTCCCAAATTATTCAACTTTTTAATAAGCATTCAAAATAAGTTTAACCCCCTAGACTATTCAACTTCTTCTTAATAAACATTTATTTTATTTATTATTGCAATTGATTTACCGTCTTCAACTTTTTATCTCTTCATCTCTTTATTTCTCAATCTCTTCCTCTTRATATAGTTTGACATAAATTGCTATCAAGAAACAATTGATTATGTTCTTAAAAATATTCTCACAAAGGAAAAACCAAGATTGATGACATGATTTCTCCTAAAGATTAGAAATTATTTTTTTTTTCTTATTTATCCTTATTTTAATCTTTTTTTCTAATTTTCATTCTAATTTCTATAAAGATTTTTCATTTAACACAATCCTTTCATTTTTCTT